AATTATTTGGACAGCAAACCAGAAATCATTGGAGGATTGAAGGTGTTGAAAATATATTAGGCCCAGCTCCCTTATGGCAGATCCTATCTTCCAAAGTTAGCAGAATTCCTTGAGGCAAGAATAGAAAAGTGGTTAGCAAAAGAACTGGATTTCTAAACTTAACCCTTTACAGGTCAGTGGAATTCTGAACTAAGTTTAGAGACAGAGACTAAGAAGTCAGTTACAGGACAAAACCAACTAGCTGTAAATAGGATCAATAAGAAAATGACACAGGATCTGATGGGATGGGATCTGAATCCTTAAAAGGTAAAGATCATGTCTTTGGGATCTGGATTCCAAAAAGAACAAGTCCTGAACTTTCCCACATGGTCAAATCTCTGGTTCTTCTGAGGCTATAATCCTAACAACTGGCCTTTCATTATCTCCTAAGCCCAATCTCCCAATTCCCTGTTACCCTTAACCTCACCTAGCCCTCCATTTTCTCACCTCCCTATGGCTCCCAGTCACTTCCCACCCTTAATCCTATCTGGGCTCCATTCTCCTTTGGCCACAGGGTCCAGGTCCTTGGTGTTCTGTTACTTCACAGTCACCCCAGCTTACTGGTCACTCCCATCCAGATACTCCTTAGGATCCTCCTCCAGTCACCCTAGACTACTTGGTCACTCCTAGATCCCTCCCATAGTCTTTCTGTATATAAGGTCCATCTGTCCTTCCTTAAGGGTCTCAGATTCTTAACATCTGACCCAGGTGCATTAGTAATACACATGCTGAGATTCCTTAATAGTCTGTCCAATCTGGCAGATTCTTTAAATCTCACCCACCCCAATGTTCTAATAAACCTTGTCTTTGGCTGAAAGAAGGATTGGTCAAATTCATTTGGGCAGGATCCAGTGTTGTGATTTTGGGGTCTCAGCACTCTTACAACTCTAAACCTCAACAGATCCATTTTAATTTTAATTTTCTCAGTACTATATGCATACAGCAATCACATACATCATGTCTGATACATAAAAAATAATTGAGAGGCATAGCTTCTCAGTACCTAATCATTTTAGTAATAATGCTAGTATGTTATTAATAAAAGGATGGTCATTTGGCCATCTCTCTTTGACCAAAATCCCTCATGGAACCCACTCAATGCCCATGGAAAAATGTGTGTTCCTGAGAGTTGGAATCATCTCTGATTGGTCAACAATGAGAGAATGAATATTATACTGAGATATGGAACTATTCTACTGAGGGTGTGGAGTATATGATTCTAATCACTTGGTTTTGGTCAAAGAGAATTATTTGAATTCACATCCTAGTCTGATGAAAGGGATAATCCACATTTTCCCAGGCACAATGGGCTTTAATACATAAGAACAATGTTTTATACCATTTACCAAGATTGATTGGTTGTTGTCCTTTGTTTTCAAAGAGGACCAAAATGACATCACTATGTTAGAGTCAAGTTACAGTACATCTGACTGTTGTTGATTAGACCAATGCAAGCTCAGAATGCTCTACCACAAGTTGGGCACAAATAGTCCACATGTAAACATTAAGGGTGGATTCTCTAAATTTGCATATCTCACATTTTTTTTGAGCTTCTTCAATTCTGCTTTATCCCTAGAGCACAGCAGCTTTTCTGATGACGGCATGCCATGCTGGGTGGTCTAGTGCTAGTGTTACATAATTCATTCCAAAATTCTTAGGAGAAACCTTGAGAGTGTCTTTGTACCATTTTTTCTGACTGCCTTGTGAGCACTTGCCCTGTGTGAGTTCTCCATGAAATAGTCTTTTTGGCAAGTATACTTTTGGCATTTGAACAATGTGGCCAGTCCATTGAAGCTGTGCTCTTTGCAGTAGGGTTTCAATGCTTAACAGTTTAGCTCACAAAAGGACCCGAGTGTCTGGTATTTTATCCTACAAGGTGATCTTCAGAATCTTCCTAAGACAGTTCAAATGGAAGCAATTCATTTTCCTGGCATGGTGCTGGTATACTATATAGGTTTCACAGGCATACAACAATTAGGTCAGCGTAACAGCTCTGTAGACTTTCAGTGTGGTAGTAAGTCTAATACCTTTTCTCTCCTACTCTTTCCTTCAAAGCCTCCCAGATACTAAGTTAGCTCTGGCAATGTGTGTATCAACCTCATTATAAATGTGTATATCCCTGGAAAGAATACTGCCAAAGGCAAGTGAATTTATCCACAGCATGCAAAACTTCTCCATTTGCTGTGACCAGTGGTTCCACATATGGATGGCATGGTGCTGGCTGCTGGAACACTTGTGTTTTCTTGGTGTTAGATCAAAATGAGCATAAACAGCAGAGGATAGATTCATACTTTGTTGCATCTCAGCTTCAGAGGCTGCACTGAGTGCACAATCACCTGCAAACAGAAAATCATGCACCCACACTTCCTCCACTTTTGGTCTTGGCTTGTAGCCTTTTCAAGTTGAAGAATTTACCATCAGTGCTGGAGCTGACTTTGATGCTGTTTGTCCTCACTGAAGGTGTTTGACAACATGGTTGAAAAAATCATGCTAAAAAGCATGGGAGCGAGCACACAGCCTTGTTTCACTCCATTGGTGAATGGGAAAGTACAAGACCTTCGTCCATTATCCAGACCCTGGCAAGCATGACATCATGAAATTGACACACAATGCTGACGAACTTCTCCGAGGAACTACATTTTGAAATAAGGTAAGGTCAAAATGCATGCATGACCTAGATAGATAGGTAGATGTTATAGCAAAATTAGAAGAATATGACCCATATTACCTATTGAACTTATGGAGTGAAGGGCAACTTATTGTGTGGTGTAAAATGGATAATATCAATTACATTAAATTAAAAGGGGTTTGTAGAAATAAAACCAATGTGGCAAAGATCAGAAGGAAAATAGATAATTGGGGGAAAATTTTTAAAGGTGGTTTCTCAGATAAATGTTTCGTATATGCTATATAAAACTTTTGTCCAATTGATAAGAATATGAGTCATCTTCCAATTAATAAATTGTCAAAAGGATATGAAGAGACAGTTTTTCAATGAAGAAATCAAAATGACAGTCATATGAAAAATGCTCTAAATCACTCTTGATTGGAGAAATGCAAATTCAAACAACTTTAAGATATCATCTTAAACCTATCAGATTGGATAAGATGATAGAAGAGGAAAGCAACAAATATTGGAGGGGATATGGAAAAACTGGAACACTAATTCACTATCAGTGAAACTTTGAACTGATTCAAACATTTTATGGAACAACCTGGAATTAGGCCCAAAGAATTATAAAACTGTTTATAACCTTTGACCCATAAGTACCACTATTAAATCAGATTCCCAAGCTGATCAAAGGAAAAAGGAAAAGAACCTATATATTCTAAAGTAATTATAGCAGCTTTCAAAGAATTGAAAATTGAGGGGATGCTCATCACTTGGGGAATGGCCAAACAAGCTGTGATATATGATTATGATGGAATACTACTATGCCATAAGAAATGATAAACTGGTAGATTTTAAAAAAGCATAGAAAGGCTGAAATAATGAAAAAATAATGAAGAGTGAAATAAACAGAACTAGAAGAACATTGTACACAGTAACAACAAAAGTATTCTAAGAACAACTTTGAATGACTAAGTCATTTTGAGTATTATAAATCCTCAAATCAACTACAAAGAAAAATTACTATAAATTGGAGATAAGCCAGAAAAATGTTGTCTTGGCTGAAGTCACTGTGTACAGTAGGTGGCAGCAGACTTGGTTGCTCTGAGGGGGAGGCCCCTTCAGTCTGAAGCTCAGCGTGTACCTGTTCCCAGATACTTCAGAAGATATACACATTCCCCAGAAGATATGGTGTCACTGTCTTACCACACACAAAGAGTCCTTCTCAGAAACAAAACATGGGACACTTTGGAGGATCCAAGAAATTCAGCTGGTTTTATTATGCCCCATTAATTTTGTGCCTCAATTCTTCCAACTCAAATTGAGATATGAGCTTGAGTATGCTGGTAAGTCTTTTGTTTTTGTTTTTGTTTTAGGCAATTGGGGTTAATTGACTTGACCAAGGTCACACAGCTAGTATGTGTCAAGTGTTTGGTCTGAGGCCAGATTTGAACTCAGGTCCTCCTGACTTCAGGGCCGGTGCTCTATCCACTGTGCCACCTAGCTGTCCCCTGGTAAGTTTTTTAACAAGCAGGTCTCAAGGCAGAAAAATGTATGAATGATACACTTTTGTTTAATCTACATTATTAATGTTTTCTCTCTCCCTTTGTTAAGTCTAAACAATTAAGAAAACCAATTAAAGTCAAGCCCTGATTTTCAATGTCTGCTGATTTCTGAAGTATAAATGCTCAAATCAAAAACTTCACAATGACCTCTCTCATGGCAACAGAGCATACCCTGGATATAAGGGACCATGAATGTGTTTTGGGGTAAAAAATCTGCATGAAATCCAGTTCCAAAGAGAATGAGCAAAAACTAGCCCTATAAGCAAGCAGAGATGTCAGGAGTAGGCTCAGAAATACCACCTTATCCTTCAACCCCCCACAAAATAAAAGAATCCATAAAGTAGATCCAATGTCTTCTGAAGATAAATGACAAAAGATTTGAATGCCTTTCTAATTAGACGTGACCTTGGGATAAGCTAGGAAAATATCAACAACATAGAAAAGCCTAATGAGCATTCCTTTCTTACTGAGAGTAAATTGGAGTGATGGAGAAGGATAGACACTGAGACCTTACCAATGATGTTTAGATTTTCAGTGTCACTAACCTTCCCCAGGGTTTTAGAACTAAATCTGGGGGAAACTTCTCTCTGCAGCTCAGGGAGGGGACTCATCCCTCTGGGAGGCAGTTGCTCTTCCTCACAGTAAACAAAGACATGCAAATTAGGATCCTCCCTCTAGGGATGAAAACCATCAAACACCTGTGTCTGCAGCTCTGAGACAGGAGCTTTTCATCTGTGTGGCCTTTCTCTCCTAAGGACTGACACTATAGAGTCTGAACAACGGGATTTGGACTGAATGGAATTTTCATTCTGAATATTTTACAAGGTAGTTTTGTCTTTTGTTTGATTTTTGACCAAGGATACACTCTTTGAAGTGGTGTATTTATGTGACTATTGTCTTAAATGACTCTTTGCTTGCCGGTGTCCATTGTGATGTTCAGCTGGTAGAGTCTGGGGGTGATGTGAGACAGCCTGGAGGATCTCTTAGCCTTTCCTGCAAAGCTTCTGGATTTACCTTTAGCAGCTATAGCATGCACTGGGTCAGCCAGGCTCCAGGGAAGGGACTGGACTGGCTTGCACATATCTATAGTAATGGAGGAACCACAGACTATGCAGACTCTGTGAAAGGCAGATTCACCATCTCAAACGACAACAGCAACAGCATGCTGCACCAGCAAATGAATTCCCTTAAAGCTGAGGACACATCCATGTATTACTGTGCAAGAGACACAGTGATAAAAAGGAATATGAGACCAGACATAAACCCCCTCATTCAGACAGGCCGTGTGGAGAATGACTTAGAGAGGGAAGACAAGGACATTGAGCACAAGGAGACCACTTAGAATAACAGGTGAAGTATGAGGCTGAAAAATTTTCAAGCTCTTTGGCTTCTTTCCAATTCCCAGTTAACATTTATCCCATCCATCTATCCATCCATCAATCTATCCTATCCTCTCTATCTACCTATCTATCTGTCTGTCTATCTATCTGTCTATCTATCTATCTATCTATCTATCTATCTATCTATCTAATCTCCTTTGTGTCCCTGAGAATCTTTCCATTTCTGTTGCCTGCAGGTACAGAGATAAGATATATTCTTTTAATGGTTTATATGTTTTGTCCATGGCGACTAATTTCTCTGTAGTTGTCAAACATGATGGAGATCAGGAATTATTGAACATTTTTTATGCATCCTATAGCATTTTTGTATACACTGTGCATGTGGAAAATATATCTACCTGTAGATACATTTAATATATATGCATATATATTTATATATCAGTATTATGTATATGATCCTCCCAATGTGTGTGTATGCAGATCTATCTGTATACATATATATCCCATGTGTATTCATACACATATCAGAGGATCATGACACTGTAATTGGAGGGAATCTGAAGCTTCTTTTCAATCAGACCCTCATAATATCAAAATTATATTCCTCTCACTTGAGGACTGGATATATCTGGGTGTGCCTCAAATCCCTGATCTGTGAAGTCCAAATAACCTTACCCTCTCTGTAGCACTAGGTTAAAGAGATATTGAGGTCCATAAGGATAAAACCCTTCAGAAATGTCCTTAGGGATCTGTAAAAACAAGGCCTTCCCTTCAAGAATATCTTCTTCAGGTATTTCCTAGTGAATCACTGTGCTCTTAATGATATTCAAGATGTCTCTTTGCCTCTCAATTCCCCAGCCTCTTTTTTTCCCTTCACCTTTTGCTATGCTCTGAATATCAGGCTTTTTTTTGAATATCTAACTTTCCCATCCAAAGATATAAATTCCAAGATGCAAAATAGACATTTTAGGTACTACTGCAACTAAGGATTGAGACCCTTGAGGTGGATAAAATACTGACAGGAATTCAAGGGGAGGCAGCATGTTTATTACAAAGCCTGGCATATGGTCAGAGATTATTACATGTTTCTCTATTCCATTCTTTTGCCCTGCATGGAGGAAGATAAACTGATGTGGGGAAATTCGGGAAGCAAAAGAGGAGAGTTGAGGAGGAACACTTTGACAAAGGTGTGTGAACCTCCCAAAAAGAACCCCAATTTGAAACAGTCAGCTCTAAGAAAGAGACAAACAAAATCAGGGTGTGTGTGTCCACAGTTTAATTTCTCTCAAGCAGGTTTGACATGCATTGCATGGGATTTCAGTCCAAAACCTGGTACCCCTAAGGGGGCCAGTTCAGAACTGGCTTGAGTTGGATTTTGGTGGTACAGCCTTATATGCCCTTTGAAAAGTAGGTGTTCCCTAGGGATGACAATCAACTTTGGGAGGTGGGCCATATTAAAATGAGATCATTTTAGGTATGTGGCTAAAGATCACTGGTTATAAAAAGATGGACTCTATTATACACATCATACATCGAATGAACAATTTTAAAACTTCTGGTCATGTTCAAATAAATAATCCCTAATTAAAGTGAGCGCTTCCTTTAAGGCATTTACAAGAATATTTGATTTAACCAAATAATTTTAACTGAAACTTCCTTTTAAATATTGCCATAACTTGGAAGTTTATGATGTCTTAAATTATAGTACTTCAAAAATATGATAATACATGGTCAGATAGAATGACCTAACAGCTTCCTAACCCATTCATTTCTTTTTCCCTTTTTCTCTTTTTCTCTGACAGTATGATTATTAATCTAGCAACATCTAGATTATAATAATTGTTTACCAATTTGCACAATTTAGAAATGGAACAATACCTTGCACATTATAATGTATTTAAAACTTGAAACAACCCATGACCAATTTAGATAAATACATTTCTAAATCACCTTGCACAGAGAATCACTCATCTCATCATTAATTTGTTCAAACTACAACCTAAAACTACTTTATATATTTTCATAAAAGCCAAGATTTCAAATGAAAACATCTGCTCTCATAGTAAATATTAGCATTATCATTATTATGTGATTATAACCAAATATACTTCATTAAAAGTTAACAGTTTTCAAAAAGATTTTATCACATCCCTTTCCTATTAAAAAGTCCAATTCATATGCATCAAAATCCAGATTAAAATGGAGAAATACAGTAATAACACAAATAATAAACTTCAGATGACATCAATTGCATTTTCAGATTATCACACAAAGAAATTATTGATCTTATTACTTTTGGTATTTTTAAACTACTTTTAAGTTATCAGCCAGATGGATTTACAAGTGAAATCTATAAACATTAAAGAACAACCAATTCCAATACAATATAAACTATTTAGGAAAACACATGAGGAATGAGTCTTAGCAAATTTTTTATAGTACAGATTTGATGCTGATACCTAGATGGTATCATCTTTCAGAGAAAGAAAATTATAGACCAATTTCCCTAATGAACATAGATGCAAAAAAATTAAATAAGGTATTAGCAAAGAGATTACAGCAGTTTATTCTGAGGTTAATATGCTATGATCAGGTGGGATTTATACCAGGAATGCAGGGCTTATTCAATATTAGGAAAACTATCTGCATAATTGACCATACCAAAAACAAAAGTAACAGAAATCATATGATTATCTCAATAGACGCACAGAAAAAGCTTTTGACAAAATGCAGCACCCATTCCTGTTGAAAACTCTAGAAAGCATAGGAATAAGTGGAATTTTCCTTAAAATGATAAGTAGCATCTATCTAAAACTATCATCCACATTAAATGTACTGGAGATAAGCCAATTTTCTATTCAGCTCTGATCTTTTCATCAAGAATGCTTGAAAGTCCTCTATTTCACTGAATGACCATTTTTTCCCCTGCAGGATTATACTCAGTTTTGCTGGGTAGGTAATTCTTGGTTGTAATCTTATCTCCTTTGCCCTCCAGAATATTGTATTCCATGCCCTGTGGTCCCTTAATGTAGAAGCTGCTAAATCTTGTATTATCCTGATAGTGTTTCCACAATACTTGTACTGTTTCTTTCTGGCTGCTTATAATATTTTCTCCTTGATCTGGGAACTATGGAATTTGGCTACAATATTCCTAGGAGTTTTCTTTTGGGGATCTCTTTCAGGGGGAGATCAGGGGATTCTTTCAATTTCTATTTTGCCCTCTGTTTCTAAAATATCAGGACAGTTTTCCTTGATAATTTCTTGAAAGATGATGTCTAGGCTCTTTTTTTGATCATGGATTTCAGATAGCCCAATAATTTTTAAATCCTCTCTCCTGGATCTATTTTCCAGGTCAGTTGTTTTTCCAATGAGATATTTCACATTATTTTCTAATTTTTCATTCTTTTGGATTTGTTTTACATTGTCTTGATTTCTCATAAAGTCACTAGCTTCCAATTGCTCTATTCTAATTTTTAAGGAAGTATTTTTTTCAGTAATCTTTTGGACTTCCTTTTCCATTTGGCCAATTTTGCTTTTTAGGGCCTTCTTCTCCTCATTGGCTTTTTGGACCTCTTTTGCCATTTGGGTTAGGCTATTTTTTAAGGTGATATTTTCTTCAGTATTTTTTCGGGGTCTTCCTTAGCAAGCTGTTGCCTTGTTTTTCATGATTTTCTTGCAAAACTCTCAGCTTTTGCTCTACTTCTCTTACTTGCTTCTCAAAATCCCTCCTGAGCTCTTCTAAAGCCTGGGACTGATTCATATTTTTCTTGGAGGCTTTGGATGTAGGAGCTTTGGCTTCATTGTCTTCTTCTGGTTGAATGTTTTCATCTTCTTTGTCACCAAAGTTAGATAATATAGTTTGACTCTTTTTGCGCTGCTTACTCATGATCCCAGCCAATTACTTGAGTTTTAAATGCTTTGTTAAGGTAAAAGTCTGCTTCCAATGTGAAATGTGTACTGTCCCAAGCTTCGGGGGTTTGTACAGCTGTTTTCAGAGATACTTCTAGGAACCTGTAAATTTTCAGTTCTTCCAAGGTGGTATGATAAGGGGCAAGGTGTTTTCTCTCCACCACCACAAAAAGCTGCACCGCACCAGTGTTCCTCCTCACCCCAGGACCACCCCGCAGAACTGTGAACCAGATCCAAGTGCCAGTAAAACAAGAGATTCCTGCCTCAGCACTGGTAAAGAGATTCCTGCAATGCCCCTCTGATGAGCCACTCAATACCCCCTCAGTCTGTGAGCCAGAAGCTCAGGAAAAAGCTGCGACCCTGGGCCGCACTCTAGACTTGCAGGTGAGACCTAGCTCCTCTCTCACTACAGTCATAGACTTTTCCCACTGACCTTCTAAGTTGTCTTTGGCATTCAGGGGTTGAGAAGCCTGGAAACCACCACAGCTGCCCAAGATTCAGTCCTCTGAGGCCTGCTCCAGGTAGCTGCGGCCTGCGCGCCAACATGTAACTGCGCTCCTCTCACCGCTTGGCACGATATACCTTTCTGAACAACCATCCAGCCCGTCTTTGGCTGGAAATTTGTTTCACTCTGTCTTTTTGTGGGTTCTTCTGCTTTAGAATTTGTTTAGAGCCATTTTTTTAGGTATTCGGAGGGCTTTGGGAGAGAGCTCAAGACAGTCACTGCTTTCCTTCCATCATCTTGCCTCCACCCCTCTAACTCTAGTCTATTTTTTAAGGTGTTATTTTCTCCAGTATTTTTTTTTTGGTTCTCCTTTAGCAATCTGTCTACTCATTTTTCTTTTTTCTTATTAATTTATTTTGATTTATCAATAATCACTTCCATACGCTTTTGAGTTTAAAATTTTTCTCCCCCTTCCTCCCCACCACCCTCCCTAAGATGGCACATAAGCTCATATAAGCTATACATTTACATTCATATTAAACATATTTTCACATTAGTGACGTTGTAAATAGAAAATAAAACCAATAGGAGGGACCATCAGAAAGAGGAAATAAAACTCAACAGAAGAGAAAAAAATTAGCAATTCAGC